ACTACTAGCGTGGCACTTGTTACTACTAGCTTCTTGTTACTACTAGTGTGGCACCTGCTACTACTAGCGTGGCACTTGTTACTACTAGCTTCTTGTTACGACTAGTAAGGCACCTGTTACTACTAGCGTGGCACTTGTTACTACTAGATGTTTCTCACTTGTCTCTATTTCAACGGAAATCATATAACTCACATAACCATATTCCATAGCAACATCATGTATTAGTTGGGTGCAAGCATGCCCAAACATATTCAAAACTAGACTTAGCTTGTCGACATCAGCATTATGTCCACACATGTCACACGTCTTTCATTTTGGAGAAGTGTCAACGCAACCTGCCGCAGTTTATCCAAGAAGGTGATCCCATCCCGTGTAGCTCCCAAGCGCCGGATGAACTTCGCCGTCTCGACGGCACGTGCCCAGGTGTAGGTGGAACGTCCCTCCATCCATTGACGTTCTGCCAGCAACCGGGACTTCACAGACTCGTCCGCCAAAAACTCTGCCACCACCTGAGGTGAAATCTAAAAGCTAGTAGTAACAGGTGCCACGCTAGTAGTAACAGGTGCCTTACTAGTAGTAACAAAAAGCTATTAATTTAACTTAATCTTAATTTATTTTGTTGCTAGTAAGGCCAGGAGCCCCGTTCGTAGCGTCCGATCGCTCCTAGTAGCGATGCCCTTTGCTCCTAGTAGCATCCTTGTGTTAGACTATAGAGTCATGTGTTCAATTCAATGTTTAAAAAGATATGTATCGAATGTCTGCAGTTCAAGCAATCCCTGCAGCACTTGGGTTTGGACCTCAGCCCTATTTGAGCTAGCTGTTAGCTTGGTACGAGGGGAAAAATACCGGCTGAATACAGCCCTTTTAGGGCTCAGCACGAAAAAAAAGGTTGCAACTGCCAAAAGTGTGCCTCCAACTTCTTCTTGAGGAAGCCTACACTGTAGTTCACTGCAGTGTTGATAACTCCATAGCCATGCACGCGGATGGAGGCCGTCAAATGCTCCACAGTGATAGTGCGCAGCTTGGCATCGCCCTGGTTGGCGGCCTGGGTGAAGAACTGCTGGTGAAGGCTGTAGGAATACCTTGGCTGATGCATGCTGATACATGCTCTGTCAGCGCGAGCTGTCACAAGCGCATTCAAACATTTCAAACCCAGTTCACCTCCATGTTAGGGCGAGTGCCACTCAAGGTGTCAGAGGCTTCTCACCTTCCAACTTGTTTCAGTGGAGCAGCGGCGCTTCCCGGCAAGTTGCTGAGTGGCTAAGAGGTGCACGTTGCGCATGACGTCGATCACATCCAATCCTTGTGCCAAGGAGCCAGCAGGAAGTCCGCCATCGACCAAATTTAAGCCATACCGATGAAATGCCTTGCGAGCCACGCGTGGTGCGGAGCCTAGCGAGTATTCTTAGCAAACGATATGAGACCTTTCTTCCTGTTCCTTTTTTCTTTGCTTCTAGCAACGGCCTCCAACCCAATAGCGATTACAAAATGACAATAAATTGGCATCGACCTAGCCGCTTAGTTTTGGATCTGACCCCGGCCTGTTCCCGCATGCGCACGTACGCTTCAGCATCCTGAGGTGCCAAGGCTGCGAGGTCGTAGAAATGCCGACTCAGGCGGAGCTCCACCTGCCGACACAGAATCACCTGCATTTGATCACAAAGAAACTATTTCTGTGAAAGAAAGGAAGGAAAAAAAGGAAGAATGAAAGAAAACACGTTGAACGAAAGATTGCATTCTAGTTTCTGCGATCTCACGCTCATTGCAGTAGAATGGGATCAAAAGCAAGACATAAAAGACCATCCATCCACATCAACCCACGTCCATCCGATTTTCCGAGTAACAAGAAGCTAGTAGAAACAAGTGCATCGCTACTAGGAACAAGTGCATCGCTACTAGGAACAAATGCCTTAATTACTACTAGTAACAAGAAGCTAGTAGAAACAATATATAAATTAGTTACTAGAAGCTTCTTGTTCACTACCTCGCCTGATCCTTCAAGTCCACCACATCTGCGTCGGTCAGGCGCAAGGGCCGTAGCCGTAGCAACGCTAAGACCTCCTCGGGTGGTGCCAATGGCAAAGCTTCACGTGTGCCCTGCATGGTGGCGTGGACCAAAAGCCGCAAATCTTCTTCCTTATCATTTCATGGTGATGCAGAACAACCAGAACGCACTATATACGTACATCACTATATGATCACCAACAGCAGGTCTGGAATGCAAACCGCTTCCCTTTCCTTCTTTCCTAGTAGGCCATCGCTAGTAGGTTGGAGGCCATTGCTATTAGGTAGAATGCTAGAGTAGCCCTTTGCTTCTAGTAGCGAGGCCCTTGCTCCCAGTAGTACGGCCAGGAGCCCCTAGTAGCGTCCTTTGCTCCTAGTAGCGAGGCCCTTTGCTCCTAGTAGCGAACCTTGTTACTACTAGTAAGGCACCTATTACTAGAAGCGATGCACTTGTTCCTAGTAGCGATGCACTTGTTACTAGTAGCGATTCCTGCAGACCTTGAGACCTTTCTTTCGATGTTCACAATTTAGTGCCCGACAGTAAGTCGGGCCGCGCTCTTTTTTGGCTCTGTGGTGCCATGGAAGAAGGAGCGTCAGGTTTTTACTTAGGCTGGCGTGTGGCAGACCGCAAGTTGTCAGAACACATTATCTCGAGTGTGTGTCCGTGAACAAGCAGCAGTCAGCAGCTGTGAGAGCGGAAGGATGAAATTCCAAAGAATCTTGGGCAGCAGGTGGCTGCTGTAAGCTCGGAGCTGGCAGCAGGAAAAACCACTGATTCTTTCAGGTTTGGATAGGGCGTGTGGCTCCAACCAAACATTGGAGCTCAGCGGAGCTTGAAAAAGCTAATTGCTCAAGCCTCGCACGGCCAGGCCTGGTGAAATACATTGCAGCGCATTTCGATGCAACAAACCATTGGAAGGCCACGTTCGTTTTTTTTCGTCACAACAGGTAGACAAAAGCCAGATGTAAAGCCAAATGGTGCTGCACGGTGTGTGAAAGCAGCTCAAGATATTCTTTCTGGCAAGAAGGTAGCTGTTGCAGCTGTTATGCCATAGTTCTGTGGCCAAGTTGGAAACAAGCTTTTCCAACGCCATAAGCAACAGTCTCGCGTGGTAAAACGAAAGCTAACAGCGGAGCGCCAGTTTTTGGAGGGTTGCCTGCAATGAGCGGAGTGCAGCACACCCGCTTGGAGATGGGAGCCAGTGGACGATACAAACGACGGTTTTGGTGCGGTAAAGAATGAGTTGCGGGTCCGTTGGCTGGTAGGTTTGGATTGCACAATCTTGCAAGAGCGTTCCAGAGCGCGAGAACATGGGTGAGAAAGCTTGCCAAAGTGGAAGACAAGGCAGTTCGGAAGGGGATGAAGATGCCAAACATTGTTTCTACTAGCTTATTGTTACTACTAGTAAGGCACTTGTTACTAGAAGCGATGCACTTGTTACTAGTCACAACAGAAGCCTTGGCATCTTCACCGGCTTGGAATGTGGGGATACTCGCCAAGCTGTTTGAGTGATTCGTGGCAGTCCGAGATGTCAGCCACGCTTTGAAACCCATCTCCATTTGAACCAACAACGGCTTTCTACGGCTTTCACGATAAGGCCGACTCAAGCCTTTTCCGCGGTACGACTTCGTTGGAAAAACTACAGCAGAAATAGAAAAACCTTGTCAACTTACAGGCAAGTCGTCCAGCTTTGCACAAAGCGGCTGCACAATGCTCTCCTCCAATGCACGCCGGAGTTCCTTAAGAAACGCTTGCCGTGCTCGTCCTTCCGGCAAGTTTTCCAAAGGCTGGGCCAAAGCGGCAAAGAGAGGTGGCAAGGACGGCACGCGCAAATCTGAAAGGAGAGTCGGGAGCAAATCTCGCATCCAATAGCACCTCCCAAATCTGACCAGCATGACCGCACGACACGACGGGCAACAATAATAATGATTTCCACTTAGCAAGAAGAAACCATGGGGAAAAGAATAGCGATGGCCTCCAACCTAGAAATATAACTTGCCAAAAGGAGCAAAGCACCAGCTGGTGTCGCACAAACTCCGCAGCTGCTCCTGCCATTGGCTGACGATCCTCAGCTCCCGCCAGCGCCCACCCACGCCCGCGCTGGCCGACTCAGAGCGCCCGGAACAGCACCTCGGTGATGGGCAAATCACCACTTCCGATCTATCTGAAAACCCAGAGATCTGGTTGGTTCATAACAATCAGTTTAAACATCTATCATTGCCCTTTGTGCTAGACATGTGGACCTGAGTTGAGGTGACCAATGGCAGGACCTAGAGACTAATTCTCGCATTGAGTACGGAGAATTTCAATACTCCAACAAAACAGCGTCCTACCGTCTAGAAAGCTTTCAGAAAATTCTGTAGCTTTGAGGCCCTTCTAAGGCCTTCGACACTTTTCTCATTCTTCGCTTTCTTCACTTTCCGGTTGGAGGCCATCGCTAGTAGGGTGCTTATTTTGCTTTCTAGTAACTAGAAGCTGCTAGGGGCTCCTGGCATCGCTACTAGGAGCAAGGACGCTACTAGGGGCTCCTGGCCGTACTACTAGGAGCATTCTTGCTTATTTTGCTTTCTTGGTTTTCCTTCTAGTAGCTTCTTGTTCCTAGTAGTAAGGCCAGGAGCCCCTAGTAGCGTCCTTGCTCCTAGTAGCGATGCCCTTTGTTCCTAGTAGCGTCCTTGTTTCTCCTTCGTTCAAGTCGATCCAAGGCACAGGGCCAATGCAATGCCACCCACGTCGAAGAAGGCCCTCGAGGCATTCTGCTCGCCAGCGAGGATCCGCCGCAGGGCCTCGCCGCAAAGGCGTAGCGCGTCACTGGGCGCCTCGCTTGCGCGTTGAGGCTTCAGCTTGGCGCGGACCTCCTGGAGATCCTTCCGGAAAAAACATGAAAACAAGGAGCAAAGGAGGGAGTGCAAAGAGTCTTCAAAATGCGATGAAAAAGTAAATCAATTTTGCTTAAAGAAAGCAAAAAAAGAAAGCATTGTTTTATTGAAGAAGCTACTAGGAGCAAAGGGCATCGCTACTAGGAGCAAGGACGCTACTAGGAACAAAAAGCTATTAAGTTGCTCATTTGCTTCGAGCCCTCCTAGACGTTTCCAAAGGTTCTTCAAGGAAGCTTCTGCCGTTCCAACCTTTCAGTGAAGCCGAGCCCTAGCAGCTTCGTGTGTTAGCTAACACGTTGGCTCCTTGATTTCTTTCGCTTCCTTTCTTTTCAGCTTTTCTTTTCAGACTCATTTCTTCTGACTGTTGGCTCCACCCTACTTCTACGACCCCTTGCCCACGGCCTTCCCCCTGAAAGGAAAACCACAACAACGGCAAATGCTACATCTTAAAACGTAGTAGGTCATCGCTAGTAGGTTGGAGACCATCGCTAGTAGAAACAAAGAAAAAAGAAAAGGAAGAAAGGTCTCACATAGTAGAACAAGAAGCTACTAGTAGCTCCTGGAATTACTACTATAGCAAAAAGCTACTGCATCGCTACTAATATAGTTGACTCATATTCCGATTCTAAGCGAACAAACCCTAACAAGGTGCATCGCTACTAGGAACAAGAAGCTACTAGGGGCTCCTGGCCTTACTACTAGGAACAAGAACGCTACTAGGAACAAGTGCATCGCTAGTAGTAACAAGTGCATCGCTACTAGGAGCAAGAACGCTACTAGGAACAAGTGCATCGCTAGTAGTAACAAGTGCATCGCTACTAGGAGCAAGAACGCTACTAGTGGCAAAGGGCCTCGCTACTTCGATTTTCGCATCACGTCCCAACCGGAAGGGGCGAACGATATGTGGGGAAAAACATGAGAGACAGGACACCAAAATCAAGACAAGCAAAACAAGCTGGAGAGATTGCAAAACGAGCTGAAAAAAGGCACAGAAACAGTGAAATGGACGGAAAAAAAGGAAGGAAGGAAGGAAGGAAGGAAGGAAAAGGAAGAAAAGGAAGGAAAACCTAACAGCGATGGCCGCCAACCTAATAGCGATGGCCTCCACCCTACTAGTGATGGCCTCCAACCTAATGGACAGGTCTAAAGGTCCAAAGGGCAAAAAAAGGAATGAAAAGGAAAGGAAAAGGAAAAAGGAAAGGTCTAAAGGTCAAATGAAAAACTGCAATTCAATGTTGGGTTTCACGGTATCCTTCTGTAGCTTCAGCGCACAATGCTGCTGTAGGAGTTGCCCCAATTCCTGGAGCCTCCAGTTGGGCGAAGCTTCCAAGAGCTTCAGCAGTTGGAAGCCCAGCGCCACCGTCTGCAGTGCAGCACGAGGCACTGGGACACCCTCATGCACGTGGAGCACAAGGTATTCCTCCAAGGAAGTCCTCAACCATCAGACTGATCAGATTGAAAACCAGACTCAAAGACCAGGTCAGATAGGAAGAGCTGTACACTGTAAAATGGCAACCACTGTCACAATGACAGTCAGCTAGGATGAAATGAATCCACCTCATCGGTCCTAACTGAATTCAAATCCTATATCATTAGATCATCCTATATCATCCTGATTTCTAGAAACAAAAAGCTACTAGGGGCTCCTGGCATCGCTACTAGGAGCAAGAAGCTACTAGGGGCTCCTGGCCGTACTACTAGGAGCAAGAAGCTATTAGGAACAATGTGTGCGAATCTCTTGGTAAATTCGTGTCCTGATACGGAGCGCCAACGTGAGGCCCTCGAAGATCGCCGCATGAGCTTTGCGAAGGGACTCACTAATGGGAGCCCCTTCCAACTTCCTGAAGATGAAACCAAAAGCTGAACCTACTAGCGATGCCCTCCAACCTACTAACGATGGCCTCCAATTACAAGATTGAAAGGGTCACCTTTCTAATAGCTTCTTGTTACTACTAGTAAGGCACCTATTACTAGTAGCGTGGCACTTGTTACTACTAGCAAACATTGTTACTACTAGTAAGGCACTTGTTACTACTAGCGTGGCACCTGTTACTAGTAGCCTTTTAATCAAGTCAGGAAAGTGAATTCTTAGTTGTAATGTTCAGCGGGATTTCAAGTCAGGTCGCTTCTTCCTCACGTTTGAACGAAGTACAGCAATGTCCAACCAGTAAAAATGATTCCAAGCAACAACATCCAATGAATGCAAAGCCCCGCTGCCACATGAGGCTCAAATGACTCGAGCCAAGTGTCTGTTGCGGCAAAGAAGCCATCCAAGCAGCACAGCGTGCGCGATAGCCTTGCATCTCTGCAGCAAAACCGCTATCGAGTTGTTTCGCTTGGCTCAAACGTAAGCTGCCAAGCTCCTCGGCATAAGTGGTTGCGTCCTTGCAGCCTTCGTTGTTTTGCTGATAATTTCAACTCTACGTCCCAATATGAAGTGGTGGGTCAATTAAGTTTCACTGACAATCCGATAAAATAGGTTGAATGTAAAGCATCGGGCATACAATTTTGTCACTCATGCCGCCCCATAAATATGATGGCTATGTTGCATCATGTGCTAATCACATGCGTGGGTGGTCGTTTCATAATAGATTGCACCAAGACTCTTAGATAAGCCTTGCTTTTATGTAAATAAAACCTGTAACACATGTAAATACCGGATTCTGTTTAATGCGTTCGCTCGCAGTTGCTCCTCCAACTCTTTCAGGAGCTTCGCTTCTGCTACAACGTCAGGCAGGTAGGACTTCAAGAAGTCCCCCATGCACCACACCACACGGCCGAAGAGCACGACCACAGGCGTCTTTTTATGCCTCAAAAAGAAGTCATCAACATATCGGGAGCAGGAAAGCGGGATCAAAAAGAACCGGAAGCATTAAAAAAATGATGAATGGAGTTCAAACTCTTGAAATCTTGATTAAAAACCCTCAAGATCAGAGGCACATTTTCCAGAGCTCCTGGAGCAACTTCACCTCCTCTCGGCCTTTCCCGAAGCTCCGCACACAAAGCACATAAGTGTTGACCCAGCTCAGCACCTCAGCAGGTTGCCAAAGCTGTGAAGTGGCCACGGCCCCACGGAGCTCCGACTCTTCCATGCGACCACGGAAGTAGCTACTCAGCTGTTCGCCTTCGACACGTTCGGCGATTTGACACGTCTCGGCTGATTTGTCTCTCGGGAAACCGGTCGAAAAAGACAGCGAAAATACGACGAGAAAACGGTCGAATGTCTGTTTGTCTCTGTCATGTTCAGAAGGTGTGCGATGTGATGTGTGGGTGTGTTGTTCTGACCAAGTCGCGGAAAGCATGACCACGCATGTTTAACGCCTGGGCGACATTGGCCAAGCACATCTGAAAGGCATCACCCCTTAAGAGAGGCTGTGCCTCTTGAAGTTCTCGCAGCAAAGCTGTGGCCTCCGGCAGATCCGGCAGAGAAGCAGAGCCGCCACCTGCTTTGGCACCAGCCTTTTCCACAATCCAGTTGTAGGAGGTGAAGGCGCGCCGCAAACGAGCGTTCTCAAGGATCAAGCCATCCAAAAAGACCGGTACTGCCAGAAGTTCACCCAGGACATCTAAGACCACTCGCAAAGGCTGTCGTACTAAGCCAGGCATCGCCATGGTATAAGTTTGGCTCAATTGTCGCAGCAAATTCTCTGCCACCGCCTCCACACGCCTCAGCAAGTGTCGTGCTTGACGCAGCGTTGGAAGCAGCTCCGCCACCTCAACCAGGAGCTCCGAAGGTGTCTGCAACGAATCCTCCTCTGGAGACTCTGGGCCCAAGGCTTCTCCGAACCTCAAACTGGAGTTTCCAGAAGCATACCGTACAAATTCACTATACACTAAAGTCATAGAAGTAGTGTTCAGAACATACTAAAGCGAATTTGTATGAGCCAGTTAGAACTCGTGATGTATCTTGAAGGCCCTGTTCACCACGCTCACAGAAAAAGTACTCAAAACACTCCCACTGTCAAGACACACGGCCAATGCATGATAAAGCTTGGGCCCCATGTCCACACAGTTCCTTGCCTGCTCCACTGAAGCAGCTAAGGAGTGCACAACTCGACCAACTGGGCTAAATGAGAGACCGAGCTGGCTGCTCCAATCCTCAAATTGCACATCGCGGCACCACACAGACATCCATCCCACTCTAAGCGCATGTCCGAACCAAAACCGCTGTTTTCGACTCCGTCCACTCTTTTAATTTGATTCTAATTTAACTTAATTCCAATCTAATTTAGGTTAATTCTAATTTAAGTTAATTCTAATTCTAGTTTAACTAAAATTCTAATTTAGTTTAATTCTAATTTTGTTTAATTCTAATTCGAATTTAATGTAATTCTAATTTAGTTTAATTCTAATTTATTTAACTTAATTCTAATTTAAGTTAATTCTAAGTCTAGTTTAACTTAATTCTAATTTAGTTAAAAACTTAATTTAATTCTAAGTTAATTTGATTCTAATTTAACTTAATTCTAATTCTACTTTAATTTGAGTTAATGTCATTTAATTCTAAGTTGTTTTTTCCAATTTAATTTAACTCTAATTCCAATGTAATTTAATTCTAATTTAGTTTAATTCTAATTCTAATTTAACTTAATTCAAATTTGATTTAATTCTAATTTGACTTAATTCTACTTCTAATTTAGTTTAATTCTATTTCTAATTTAATTTAATTCAAATTTAGATTAATTCTAATTCAATTCAATTTTACTTTACTTCCAATTTAGTTTAATTCAAATTCTAATTTAACTTAACTCTAATTTAACTTAAGTCTAATTTAACTAAATCCTAATTTAAATCAATTCCAATTCTAATTCAATTTACCCACAAATTTTTACTTCTAATTCTAATTTAGTTTAATTCTAATTTAAGCTAATTCTATTTCTAATTTAATCTAATTCTAAATATAGTTTAGTTTAATTCTAATTTATTTTAATTCAAATTCAATTAATTCTAATTTAATCAATTCTAGTAGCTTCTTGTTACTACTAGTAAGGCACTTGTTACTACCAGTGCTGAACCACTCTTCGAACCTGCTTCGAGCTGCCGTCGCCGTCGCCGTCGTGACCGTGGCCTTCGTCACCACGTGCTGCAGTGGCAGCCGCCAGCGCAGCGGCTCGTCCAGCTGCAGCAGCTTGGAGGTCTCAGCCATGAAGCCGTGCCAACGCTCCAGGACCTGCAAACAGCAACGAAGTGCTGTGTGGACTCCAATTGGTTGCAATGATTCTCGGCAACTCTGAGGTTAAACAGGATAAATGTAGTTTAGCGGCGGGTCGATTCTGGCGAGACGTCTCATGCCATCCTTTATCTTTTTTATGCATTTCCTCCATGCCTGGTCTGCAGTGGAAGCTCCCAGTACTCGCTCATCTTCGAGCACCTCAAGATCTGGCGGAGACGGTGGAGACAAGACGTCTGCTGCGGCCATGGCGGAAGAGGCTCGCTTGTGGCGATTAAGCCACAGCTGGCAGTTCTGAATGCGCAGTTGATGCTAGTAGGTTGGAGGCCATCTAGCAGGTTGGAGGCAATCGCTACTAGGTTGATGCTCTTAGGTTGGAGGCCATTGCAAGTAGGTTGTAAAACCGAGGGTCTTGCTCTAGAGTTACCGTCCAGGTCCGTGAAGGTTAAGCAAAGCTACAGCTTGACAAGTCCCAAGCACAAGCCATTCAAGCACGTCGGGCGAAGTGTCATATCTTTGTGCAGTACAGGCCTGAATCCGGAAGATGCATGGCGACAATTGAATGAGAAGCAGCACGAACAATACATGTTTCACATGTACATGCTTTGCATGTTGGTCTATCAAACCACAGGCATATGACCTCTAAGCATCAACTAATGTGAAACGTGTCTGGTGTGAGATCTGTACGTTAGAAACAATAAAAGAAAGGAAGAATTACACCACCGTAGACCCCAAACAGTTTGTGTCTTCAAATCGGAACACTCTGCAACTAGAGCTTGCGACGTCCAGAGCTGGGAGACAAGGATTGCAAGGCAGAGGCGGCCACAGCAGTCCAGAGCTGGGAGACAAATGTAGACACAGAGGGAGACAAATGTAAAGGATTGCAAGCGACATGCAGCCCAGAGCTGGGTGACAAATAAAGGGTTGCAAGGCAGAGGCGGATACAGCAGTCTAGAGCTGGGAGACAAATGCAAAGGCTTGCGAGGACACATGTAAAGGATTGCAAGGCAGAGGCGGACACAGCAGTCAGAGCTGGGAGACAAATGTAAAATTAAGGATTGCAAGGCAGAGGCGGACACAGCAGCCCAGCGCTGGGAGACAAATGTAAAGGATTGTAAGGCGGACACCGCAGCCCAGAGCTGGGAGACAAATGTAAAGGATTGCAAGGCAGAGGCGGACACAGCAGTCCAGAGCTGGGAGACAAATGTAGACAGAGGGAGACAAATGTAAAGGGTTGCAAGGCAGAGCAGCTGGGAGACAAACGTGAAGGGTTGCAAGCGAGAGGGGGAGAGAGGAGGCACATGTAAAGGAAAGAGGGAGACAAGAAGGAAGACAAAAGGAAACACAAGGGACACAGTGCCCAACAAGAAGGGAGACAAGACAGGAAACAAATGGAGACAGAAGGGAGACAAGGCGGACACAATGACCAACAAGAAGGGACACAAAAGGAAACAGAAGGGAGACAAGACGGACACAGTGACCAACAAGGAGGAGGACAAGACCAGAGACAAAAAGAGACAGAAAGAAGACAACACGGGCAACAAGGAGGGAGACAAAAGGAAACAGAAGGGAGACAAGACCGGAGACAAAGGGAGACAGAGGGGACGAGGCGGACACAACGACCAACAAGAGGGAGACAAAAAGGAGGCAAAAGATAACAGAAGGGAGACACGACGGACGCAATGATCAACAAGAAGGGAGACAAGAAGGGAGACAAAAGGAAACAGAAGGGAGACAAGACGGACACAATGACCCACAAGAAGGGAGACAAGACCGGAGACAAACAAAGAATGAAGGGAGACAAGGCGGACACAGTGACCAACAAGAAGGGGGACACAGTGACCCACAAGAACGCAGACCAAGGGAGACAAGCTAGACGGAAGGCGGACACGCTGTCCGGCAGCAAGGCGGACACTTTAGGAAAGCATTTAGAACCCCTAACGGTAATCTGTTTGGGGAAGTGCAGAAATCACCTGGGAGACATATATGAATAGAAATGCTGGAGAGGGGAAAAGGGCGGATGCCAGCAGCGCAGGCACCGAACCTGGAAAACAAAAGTAAACAAACCACGTGGGAAACAAATGAATAGAAATGCTGCATGGCCAGCGGAAAAGGGCGGACACCAGCAGTGCAGGCAGCGAACCTGAGAGACAAAAGTAAAGAAATCACTTTAAAGACAAACGAATAATTATACCAGCGTAGACCCCAAACAGAGCAATGTTCAAAAATGAGATCTCCGAACACTATGGCCAGCAGTATTTCCTAGAGGAAGAAAACTATAGTCCACCATATAGACGCACATACAAGATTCAAAGGGAAAGCATTAAAAATCTGTTTTTCATTGACTTTACAATGGGACGCCGTACAAGGGCTAAAACATGAAATTTATGGATCCAGGTTGTGACATAGGGCTAAGACATGTGGGAGACAAGTGTGAAATCATGCGGCCAGAGCACTCAGAGCATCC